AGAGTGCGCATATTTCGATTTTGTGTGTTAATTTCTATAAGTATCTCTTGATCTCTCTTATTCCACGATCTAATGTTCCAGCATGCTACTCTTAGTTCGGTATGCCTTCTCGTAGTGCTATTTCTTGCGGGGGTCGTCTTTAAGTGGTTTCGTCCTGTATCCGAGGCTTTCTGACCGTTTCTGATCATTTTTATTTTTTACCGGGACAGGGCGCTAGCCTCACCTCCGAAGTCTCCTCTTTTATGCGGGAGTGGGACAGGCTGCGCTACTATCAAGCTAGTCAACTCACCGCAGCAGCACTGCAGGCAGAGTTATTGTTCATATTTGCAATCATTAAATAATCTTTTTCGGAAACTGGTTAGGTTGAAATCCCTTTATCGAAAGTTTACCACCGGTAATAAAAAATAACACCAAATAAACTTGAAATTACCTGTACCTTCACCGAAATACCATATCATAATAATATACTAGGAAATATATTTTCTAATACAGATTATTGTTCTCAGGTTCCTTTGTTTGAAGACCCTCTTGAACATAATTTAAGAGCTGCGCCGCGTCTAGTTTGGCCACGACATAAGTTGTTTGTAGATATAATAAGTAGGTAAAGGCAAAACGCCCCTTCATTTTTAAGAAGAAAATCACGGTCTGTGTGAAGTTAACTGAAATGGCCTAAGTGGATCGTCTGTTTTGATAAGTTCAAACAGTCAATTAAAGTATAACCTTAAAAAATTGTTACACATATTATCAAAGGCGTTTGGAATAAAATTGGAACTTTGCAAATTTACTAATAGAAAAGTAAGTGCTTACATATTACTCAATGGTTGAAACTGAATGATTAAAATATGGCGCTATGGACTAGAAGTACACTTTGTCATTACGCACCAGAAAGATCTGATATCACCAAAATAATTGTCAACTAGTTTTAAATTTTCCACTTCACGCAGGCTGCAATATGTACTAGTATTTTTTGCTTAAAATATATTATGGAACTTGTACAGAGTAACTTATGTATGAATGTTATTGGTGTATATGATCTTTAAATTATTTTTTGTACCTTATAAGTGTAAACTACAGCCTTGTATAAATTGGTTAATTCTGGACCGTTGGCAAATAAAAGAATTTTTAAAGCAGCACCGAGCTCTTTAAAAGCAACCAGTCAGATTTTTGTATGTGCCTATTCGAAAAACCATTGCTCTGACTCAGATTTTTAAATTTTGGCTCTTAAATTCAGAAATTGTGCATGCTTGAGCGGCATTGCTTGAAATGTTGCAATCTAATTCATTAATGGAGTATATTTAATTTGATCGCCGTCCAACCAGTCAGTTCGTTGATGTTTTTGCTTTTTATTCACGTACAGAGCACACTTGGTCATTATCTCTTGGTATCTTCCTCCACTATTTTACAAACATGGCTGGTTGCATGTACTGTATTTCACCATTGTGGTTAGTGTTTACGTTTTTTCCTTTTCTTATTTATTTGTTTTAAACAGTTTCCATTTGATATTTGGAAGTAATTATGATATTATACTTATTCGATTAGTTGCCTTGCTCCCCACGACACGCCAATATTGAATTTTAGCCTGTGATTTAATAGGTTAATAAAGATCCTTACTGTTTAGTGTTTTTTAAAAAATGTTTCTTTTTGGTGTGATTCAAATAAATTCCTTGAACTATTTGTGATTTTTATTTATAGTTTTTGTTATACGTTTGTGGGTTTCCTTAATCTAATTTATCCATTATAATTATTGTTTGTTATTATGTCACAGTGGATGCAACCAGTCCAGTTCTGTAAACGTCTGCAGTTTGATTTATTAATAAGAACGAGCACATTACCATTTATGGATAAATTAGGTTCTAGTACGTACATTATGATGTGTGTCGTTAAAAATAATGTTCAGACAATAATATGAATAAAGCCATAAATTAATGTTTTTATGGGTTTTTGTATAGACTTTCATGTTAATAGAAGTGTATATTTAGGTTACTTAGAAAATTACCAAAAAGAACGCAAATTAATATCATTGATGTCTGCAATAGTTTAAAATGGACGTGTTTAATCAGAAGGCATGTGCAACTCGCAACTAGCTAGCTACCAAATTTGGGTTTTGCATTTAAAACCGTTAATTTGTTGATATGGATTGTTCCGTAAATACCTGTCTTGGCAGTTTTTTCTTAAACAATTGACAAATATAAAAATATAGGAGAAGAGTTAACAAGACTAGGGTGGCTCAAACTCGCAATTCGACGCAAATCCAATCATGCTAAAGAAATTAGGGGTTTGTATTTAAAATAAGAAAGTTAGTTTACAGTTCAGTACAACTTCTAATGCACGGTCTACAATCCATTACCCTAAATCTGAAATCAATACAATCTCGTTCAGAAAAAAGACAATTTGACCAAACTTTTATTAACGAAAAGTGTTTAACCCCCTGCTATTGATGGTGAAAGTTTTGAAAAAGTTATGGTTTTTGAAATATCAGGAGAACGGTACGATGCTACGATGGATTGGATGACACTCTGTATATTTTTTGAGAATATCGTTCTAAATATAGAAGATTACACAATGGCTTTAGTTAAAATAATGTGTGTATTTAAAAAGTGGTCTGAAAAACAAATTAAAAAACGTCTTAAAGTACAACACTCTCCCCTAAAACCGGCGATGCACGCATGAGTCGAAAAAAACCTGAAAGGTTCAGGATTGTCAAATAATTTACCACTTTGCGAAAAAACCCGGTTTTCATGGAGCATAAAATGTCGATTGTGCGCCTGATCTGAGTTGTTTGTCTTTCCCTGTTTATATTTGTCGAGTTTTTATTTGCGGCTACATAGGACATTCTCAATAAAAAAATATTTATCATTCAGACGAGTAAAATGATAAAGGGACAACCAAGCAAACGATTACATCACCGTGTTTGTACTGTACAAATCGCCAGATTTTTTTGAAAAACTCGCAAATTTCTTTGCGAGTCTTGCTAGTCATATTTAATCGGGAATTTATCGCCTATAGAAAGATTGGCATTTTGGTGCTGAAAAGTAAAGTGAAAAGTGGTGATTAAAAGGAAGCTTGTGTTGACGGGTTTATCTAAAGTGAACTTTTGGTGCAAGTGAATCACAGCCGATACGGAAATGGTCCAGGACGGGGCCCCAGCATGCAGAAACCTGGTAAGATAGATCTCTAATATACTGGGTGTCCGGAAGAATGTAGGCATTTCTCGAAACACTTAGCTTGTTAGCTTGAACTGGCGGAGGTTTTTTGAGAGCAAACAGATAGTTTACGGCTTTTTTACATTTCGATTTCAATGGAGCTTAGAATTATTTCCTGTACACTAAATACCTTTTTTTGTTTCCAGGTGACACGATGCAGCTTTCGGTAAGTTTGGCTTTACGTTTTCCCTAGAAGATCGCTTTCAGATATTGTTGACTTGTATTTTATTATATTATGGCATGTAATATTTATGCGACGAGGAACGACGAGAAAGTATTTGGATTCTGTATTGCGTTATTTGAATTTCTTGTTTTAATTCGAACGTAACAGCAAACATGTAAAACAAGTGTCGTTTTGTTTGAATTACGCTTTCTATTGGAAGGTAATCTGTTGCATTTATTGGTGTTCTGTGAATTACATTCTAAATTAAATAGGTCTTGCATTCTCAATAGGTTCCATTTTCGAAAATAACATTTACTCGGTTTTTCTGCCTTTTCAATTTAATTTCATACTACATTGTCTTCTAAATTTCGATATCGGTCTTTTAGTGCGTAATATTTATTGTTGTTTAGCGACTTTTGTTGTGTTTTAATTTGAAATCCTTTGTGGTCCAGGTGGAAATCCAGGGTGTTCCGTAAGCGCATGATCAAAAGGGTACTGCGATATTCTTTGGATCAAAAGAAGACGATCTGACCTAACTTTTATTAACAAAAAATGTCTAGCTCCTCTGCTATTGATGGTCAAAGTTCTTCAAAAAATTTATCTTTTTCGAAATAATATCATATATTATCGAATATACTCATATCGCTGTGGATTTGTTCTTATGTAAGACTACTATAGAATAAAAAGTTCTGATAGTTTTTGTACCACGACACTCAAGAATTCACCACTTGTCCAAAACGGCTGAACTCAATTGTTTCATCAAAATATGAGTCTTACATAAGAACAAATTCACAGCAAATTTCACCAAAATACATCGTACCATTCTCCCGATATTTCAAAAAAGATAATTTTTGAACAACTTTGACCATCAATATGAGAGGAGCCAGGCATTTTTTGTTAATAAAAGTTAGGTCAGATCGTCTTCTTTTGATGCAGAGAATATCGCAGTATGCTTTTGATCATGTGCTTACGGGACACTCTATAAGACACCCGTTAATTTGGTTAGTCAAGTCAAGAACTAGTCGGGCCCCACCTTGAATATGCATATCATACATTTGGTCACCAGCAGACTGTTCTAACAGTAATGAAATTGAGAAGGTTCAGAACAGGTTTTTGCGTTACATACTTATATGTAAGGGAGTTTTGTTGTTCTTTTAGAATTTCATCCAATTTCATGCTAGACAGATTCGACTTGTGGGTCTGTGCGTGCTGTCTCTCAGCATGGAGAGGCCAGAAACATTATTTTGAATATTCTAAATACGACCAAATTTTAACGTGTGACCAAAAAAATTATTTTATGTATGAGACATGTGTTTTAAATTGGTTTTGTGCTGACGTAAAATTGTGTCTGACTTAGTTCATTATCTGTAACCCTGAGGAAGGCAGCAGATCACTGCCGAAACGTCAAAATAAAGAATTTTACCATTGTGGATATGGGTGTGCATCTTACTTAAACCAAAATTTCCCAATTAGGACTACATTCCCAAGAATTTATAAACTAACAATATAAATACACATCGCCCAAGAAACTTATAAATAAAATATATATTTGTACATATATCTAATCTTTATTTCCTCAGAAAAAAGCTATCGACCACGAAATTATATATTATTTAACCAATCCATCATTCGTTGCATTATGTCTTCTTCTATGCTTCTAAAGAACAGAGCTTCTTTCAATTAGGTTCGATGCTTGTTGGGCTGGTTGTGGATTTTCATTTCTCCTGACGACTTCAGCATAGGGAAAAGAATGGATTCTGTTCGTCTTCTCTATGCTTAGGGGGTCAGCATTTATTACTTCATTTTTCAACGATCGCCTTTCATCTTGATCTCTCCTTTATTGCTTGCTTGCTATGCGTTGGCAACAGTACATCCTTGATACTTGTTAGCTGGAGTGAATTTGGGTTTAGTACATGTCGCAGTAAGATCATTCCCAGCACACTTAACTCACACTAGAACTATGGAGATCTAGTGTGTGTGCAATAGGTATCTATGCCATATTTTTGAGTGTGTCTAAATATTTGACAGTTTTTACGTTGTGGCATCAGTTGGGCTGTTTGAGTGATTCCACAATTATTTTCGTATTGGCTACATATTGTATTTCAAATACCTTTTTAATGTCTTCAGTATTTTCAAAAGTTACGATAAATAGTGGCAGCTTAATATATTCTGTCTTTCGTTCCTCGGGATTATCTTTGGTTTATTTATAATTTATTTAAATTAACATTTGTTGAGCAATAAAATTCGTCAAATTTTTATATCAAACTAGAAACTCGTATATTTAATAGGAACTTTGGGCCGGGGAGAAAACCGGCAAGTTTGATGTCGCCGATGCTGTGAGGGCAGAATTGCAGAAGAAACAGGCACTAATTGTGGAAGGTCAATAGGCATATACAAATACAAAATACAAATAATAGATTTCAAATACGGTACAATTTTAAATAGGAAACCTGAACATGAACAGCATAGATTAAGAGTGAGATAGATAGCCCATTCGATTGTTAATCACCCAGCTGATTACCAGCTAAAATCTGCAGTTAGCGCATTAAAGGGATGGCATTTCTACGTTTAGCCGTCAGTATTTTTAATACAGGCAAATGCCAAAAGAATGCTGACAGCTATCAGTCACCTTTTGAAAATAATTAATAATCATGCCCGGACGCTTACATTATCCAAACGAAGATTATTTATGGAGAATGTGATGAAGCTTTCTCAAGAAGGTGTGACACATTTGCCATTCGATATCCACAAAAACAGACGCCTTGATGCTCTGATGTAAAACAAATTATAGAAAATTTCAAGAATTTTGAATACGACTAAATAACAGTGCATGTTCAATTTATAAGAGCAACCAGAAAAATTAGAGACCCGGAGATTTGAAAAAAACTGGTTTTTGGTTTTTATATTATAATAATTAATAATATATAAACCGTTATTGATATAATTTTTTCATATTCTCTATAAATAATAAATACATTTAAATAATATTCGTTTGTTTAATTTAAGCGTCCGGGCATAATTATTAATTATTTTCAAAGGGTAACTGACAGCTGTCAGCATTCTTTTGGCATTTGATTTTATTAAAAACGGCCACTTTCGTCATGGCAACTAAAGTTGGAAGGATTTAAAATGAGAAAAGGGCAAAATAGCCATATAAAAACATTAAATTGACAATATTTCGATATAATACATTATTAATATTATAATAAACTAGCTAACTTGGCAAACGTTGTATTGCCATATAAATTATTCCTAGGGTTTTTTTTCATCTCGAGTGGGCGGTTTGCCCACTTGAGATTTTTTCATTATTTTATTTTAAATTTATTGAATTACTAATATAGCTATTAAAAGATAGGTTTATGGCGGCACCCATATCACTTAGGGGTATAAAAAATAGATAACAACCTACTCTCAGACCTACTGAATATACATATAAATTTCATCAAAATTGGTCAAGCCGTTTCGGAGGAGTATGGTAACTAAAACTGTGACACGAGAATTTTATATAAATAGATAGAAGTAGCTCATAGATATTCGTTTTTTTTTAATTGGACATTTATCGGAAATCTTGTTATTGTACAGATACGGTCAAAATTAACTTTTGAGAAAACCACTTGCGTGTGTCGACACACGTGGTCAATTAAAAATGAGCTAGTGAGCCTCAAGCTCAGAGCTCCACCGGTGTAAGTGAACGTGTCAACGTGAAAGAGACTGGTAAGCAAAAAATACCCTCCTCCCCCAAATCTCGCTCAAGCACTTCACCCCTGCCAGCCCTAACTCAGCCCTTAGCGGAAAAAATATAAGTCGAGGACTTCCCTACTTCGACTCCCCAAACCACCCCAAAAACCGCTATTCCTGATGTAGCCAAATGGACAAGTCCGATGTCTTCTTCTACAGAACCACTGCAATTTTACCAACCCCAAAAAAGTTTTTCTGGTCATCCAGATCCTCGCCCAATCCATCGACAACCACTCCCCAATTAAATCTTCACTGTAATTAACACTTACCTTTCCCTTAGAAAATTCGCTACATTCTGGAAAACCGCCGCAATAATACTAATTCCAAAACCTACTAAAAACTGAAGACCCATTAGCTTCTTTTGAACTTCCATAAGCAAGCCAGATCGGAAATTTTTCATATGAAGTACTGGCCTTATTTTCAGGTCTTCTGTAGGCTCGATCATTGTAGATCAACAATTTCGGGACACCCTGTACAACTAAATATACAGTGAACTGTATCATTTGTCTGACAAAGTTTCTGTCTACCAGACCCAATTGCAGAGAAAATGCGAAACGTCCAGTGAGTTGTAAAACGTGTTCAACTTCTAATTTAAGAATCTCAGGTTCTTATTCAGTAGACTCTGTATGGTTAGTGGTGTTACGTTAATAAGGTTCGTGATCGCTATATAATTTCGAGCAGAACTTCCGTCAAACCTAAGCAATGCCCTCCGAATCAGTAACCCTTCTACCATTTTCGTTTTGTATCATTTGTGTGAACCGATAAAAAAAAATTGAATTTATAATTAAATGCTGAATTGAATTTCATAGTAAAAATATACCAATCCATGTAAAATAATTGTAGTTCTACTCCACCGACATTAACAGTGCCATCTATAAAAAACTTTATATCACCTTCGGGTTTTCCCATAGTAATTACTAAACATTTTCTTGTATTTGCAATGATATACGAGATATTTGACTGGTTCTTTCAAAATGAGCCACCCTGTATATATTGCGGAGGTTTCCGCTGGAACAACTTGCAGAAGCCGCTAAAAGCATTGCGAATTTTGCTTTGGCGCACAAATTATATCGCTACCCACTATGGAGAATGCAACAGTCAGCAGATTCTCGAATGACCAGAGTTAATAATTGTGTTTTTCTTACTTTTTACAAGCTAATAAATTGTAATTTTTGGTCGAAATAAATCTTTTTTAAAACAAGTCTTTGGTTATAAGGTGTTAGTTATTTCACAGGTTTAGAAAGAAAAATATAATATAACACACACAACAAATTATTTATTAAGTAGTACAACGGTTGTGTCATAAAAGGCCGCTTACAATATCAAATATTATTTTTATACCTATTTTATATATGTATACAAATATATATAATTTATATATTTGTTTAATAACATCGAAACCTAGTAATAATAAAAACTTTTAGGAAGATCCAATCGCAATGAGCACAACACTTAATAGGTATCTTAATGACCTTAAAATACTTAACAATAATTTTATTATCAGCTTTCCAATTTGAGTGATTGGTTTTCATCATGACAATTCTTCACAAATATTTACATAGATGTTGTTTTCCAACATGATTCAAAATCGACATGATTCAACTGTTTAATTCATGGGAACTTAGTTGAAGAGAGAAAAATACTAAGAATTTTTTCGTTTTTTGTAACTTTCGGAGATTTTACTTCAGAACAAGCTCAGATCTTTGTATCATCATTTTTATTAGAAAAAGTAGGTAGGTATATTTAAGATTGCCCTTTTAGCAAAAAGCTCAGTGTAGATTGCAAGCAAAAGTATGTGGTTCTGGTATCTTTATAGCCCTCAACAACATGAAAAACAAATGCTATTTTAATTCACCTGGCATACTCGTAGTTTTTCTTATATCTTACTGATTAGTTGAAACGAATAAATTAAATATTTTATTAATTACAAATATTGTATTAATTACAAATCATTAATTAGTCGGGCAATATTTCAGTTGATTCGAGTTGATGAATTCTGTTCATTCGAGAATATTAAATTATTTTGTATAAAAGTAACATTATGTTTTAACTACTAAGTATATTGCTTTAATTATACGTAATACACCGGACGTTTTAACGGTTTAACATATTGGGCTCAATGTACGGGATTTTTTAAAATTGGCGGCTTCGCTCTTAACAGGTTAATGGAGAATAACGTAAAAACATTTAAAAAAAAACATTGCATTTTAATTTTAACTGATAAGACTGTGTGACAAATTCAGTCGGTGAACCAAATTTAGTTGGTATTAACAACGGTATTCAGTAAAAACAAAATTAGTATAGACTTTACAAGTTTTTTTTTCTTTACTTTTTTATAGTTAAGGGTATTGTAGATCCTATCGTTCTAAATGCACCATTTACTTCTTCTTCTTTAAATTCGACTTTTTCTTCCGTTAAAAGTTTTTTAAAGTGTGCATCCCATTCATTGTCTGATATTGGCGAAATTATCACTCTGGTCTTTTCTTTTCTAATTGATTTTATCGTCTTCTAACTTTCGGTACTTCTTCGACCTCCTAAATAAGAGTCTATTTTCTGGCGCCTTTGCGTTCATGCTACATTTTTATTGTCACTAATCATTCTTCTTACCTTGGATTGTGCGCTCTTGAATTTTTATCTGGCATTCTTCCTCTATTTCTCTCTCAATCTTCGCACCCCATCAATATGGTTTTCTCCTCTTCGATTTTTCTTCCATTAAATCTAGTGATTTTTTACGGCTAGATGTAATGCTGAATGTAATCATACTCTTCATTTGGATTTTCTCCTGAATGTGCCTTGAGTTTTTCTTTGAGTTCTCCTTTTTTATATAGGCTTTTATCTATAAGTGATCAATTTTTCTATCCCCTGAGTCTTCCAGCTGTTATTGGTGAAGATTTTGGCCTTAATTAGGAAAGAGAATTTTGGCTTCCAGGTTATAATGATCACTTCCGCATGTTGGTCCGCGTTTTACTTTGATCTCTTGGATTTCTAGTTTTGTCTTTTGTTTAGTAATAAGATTAAAGAATAATAAGAAATTAGTAATTCCAGATTTCGGAAGGGTTTGGTCTAGGTATATCTGTGCATTTCCCTGTGTTGGGAAAATTTATTTTGAATTTTTAAGTCTAGTTGGTCGCATACGGTAATTAATCGGTTTTCATTGATGTTAAAAATCTTTTCTCCAAATCGGCCCATGGTCTTTTTACCTGTTCTGCTGTTTATGTCTCCCAATATAACAATTTTTCTAAATGTTACTTACAATTTTAGAAGAATTTTTAATTTGTCTACAAATAATTTTCGTTATTTGCTTAGAGTATACTGGGAAGTTCTTAGTGTCTCCCCTGAAAATAATCAAGTCAAGTAGGATTTTATGTTATTTATGTGCATTTTATAGACAGTATATCGAATCTTCCTCCGAGAGTTGCCATTTAAAACTGCAATTCAACTCGTCAAAACTAATTTGCTGACAAATTGTTATTGCAAATTTATTTTTGTGAAAAACTGAGCTTCTTTGAAATAATTATGATTTTGTATTTTATATTTAAAAATGTTCACTTCGCATTCATTCTACTCAAGGATTTGCCGGGAAATTGTACCAGACACTGCGCACTGGTATATGCAACGTTAAGCAATGAGCAATGTTAAAATAGATAGTTAGTTAAAATAGGCTTTGAAAACTTTTGTTGTCACTAACTGCTGAATTTGCTTGTCTCCGTTCCCGAAAGTCAATTGAAAAGAAATTGAAATAATGAAGTGTGTTAAAAATTGGGTAGCACTACTAAGTATAAGTCAAATTATTTATTTTCCTATTATCTTTAGCACGTAAAAAATATGTATATGGCCAATATTTTAATATTGCTTTCATTCATTCATTTCGACAACACTTTGCATATTATTTACTAATAACGAAGTAAAGTTCCCAATAAATGTTAATATTTTTATACAAGTTTGTTTCTTTTGTTTGTAAATAATGGAGTTACGGATAAAAAGCCTAATGTGTACCTTATTTGATGAGAACATTACTTCATAAATTTTTTCATTTGCTTGTTTTGTACTTCCATACTGATTTGGGTCCTATCGAATTTATCGATTAAGTTATCAATTAGAGGCACATGATCTCGATTAGGAGCCTCGTCGTTTGAGTCGGCCCGGTCGGGTTCCTTAAATTCTTCGGGATTTATTTCCAAATTTTCAGAGTTTGTCGTTCGGGTGTCTTGCTCATTTGATGAAGCAGGCATTCCAATTTTTGCCCGCACAAATCGAGAAAATGGTGCCTGAAACCAAGCAAATTAGCAACAAAATGGTTTCGCAATGTCGTTTCGGATTAGAGCTGTGACAAACGGTTAATTTTCTGTAACGGGTTACAACGTTTCAGTTTTACTTTGGTAATAGGTTTTAAAGGACACATGTTACTTTTGAAATTTTTCATTAAAATGCAGAATGATGAAGATAGTAGAAATAGTGATTATATATAATGATTTCCTTTATTAGAAACATAATTCTTAACATACGTAAACTTAAAAGAAAATATTCTAAAATCAAAAACAAAACATGGGAAAGAAGTAACTACTTAAAGAACAAACAAAATGATAATAATAAAACTAGAGTGATAAAATATACCGTTACCTAGAATTTTATTGATTAATTGGAAAGTATGTTTTCAAGAACTTTATTTCCCAAATTGACACAATATTTTTAGAACCGAACTAATCTTAATGTCGAGCTTATGGACTGGACGTAATCGTGGAAATGAAACTTACTGACTTAACGTGAACATGGACCTTATTGACTCAACGTAACGTGAATTTCTTTCTTATTAGGGAGTTTTTAGGCCCCTTAATCGCAGCACGTTTTACGTTATCCGTTATTCTGAGCATGCGCATTAGTAAAAAAAAATAACCGTCGACGTTATTAGAGAATAACGTGTTCGTTTATTTACGTACGAGTAGCGGTAACGTTAATAAGCATCACGTTAAAAATCAGAACGACGGTGTTGACATATTTGACTTATTTCTAATATTATTAATAAAATAAGCGCCTATAGTATAGCTATAAGTAAAAGCTATTTGCGATTCAATCAATTATTTAAAAAATATATATCAAACGAAAAAGCGGAGGTAATATGCAGGGGGATTCAGCACGATGGTATCAAACTTCTAGGGATTGTTCAATGCAATAATACATATAAGGCAAGACTTACTTACCGTCAAATTATTTATTTTCTTCTGTGTCGACTTTAAAATACTGTTCAATTCATGAAGTTTACCACTCACTTGGTGTAGTCCCTCTTGCTGGGCATGGGTCTCCTGTAATAATAAACGATCTATTCAAATTTGTCGTATATTTTTATTTGTGTGTTTATTTTGCAGTTTTATTTTTGTAATTGTACAACTATTTTAGGATCTTAACTTAAATATTCGAAAATTTTAGATTACAAACTTAAATTTTCTATAATTTTTCGATACAGGGTGTCCCATTTCCGACACTTTTAATTTAAATTAATCTCCATAACTGTTAGTGCTATCCAAAAAGTAGTATAGATGTAATGTGCTCTTTTTAGGTCAAATTTAAAATGATAAAATCAAAATTTGAAAATGTTTGCTGGCTTAAAAAATTGTCAATTTTGAAAATTCACAAAGAGAAATGTTTCATGCAAAACTCTCTTTATCCTGGTTGTTGAGTATTTCTCCATCTTCAGAATACGGATACGGATTCAGGTAGAAAAGTTGGACGACCTAAACTCATGTTTTTAAATGGAACATCCTGTATATTTTTCTAACGTGAACCTATAAACGTGAATAAAGTTTATTTTCACATAAACACAAATTCTTAGGGCAACTTTTTCCAAGTCCGGTAATATTCGAAGTTGGGGTTTCAGTGAAAAGTTTTCTGTGAATCGTAAAAATTTCAAGTTGTGACTTGTTTTCTATTCGGAACTATGCATTTTTAAAACAAAATGCTCATTTGTGAGACGTCGCTTATTTACAGGACGACTTTCACCAACTACGGGAAAATCAATAATTTCGTCGATTTGAGTAAAATATTTCAACCTGGCTGACTGAAATGTCTAAAAATTTCAAGGTTCAATTTAATTTGGATTCAAAGTTATGAATTTTTCAAACAAAAATCTTATTTGCTCAAAATTTTTAACGCCTTTTTAACAACTCTATCCAAAACAGGAGTTCATTGAGGTGATTTACGTGAAAACTTCAGAACTGTAAGACTCAACTGTTTTCTATGGAAAGCTTATTGCTTTGGATTAGAAGTTATTAATTTTTAAAGAAGAAAGCGCATTTGTGCGAAATCGTTTATTTTCAGAACAAATTTTACCAAGCCCGAAAAATTTTAAATTGCGGCAACTTCGGTAAATTTTTCAAACTTTGTAGGCTCAACTATCTTCTATGGATTGAATCAATTTCAAATTGTGACTTATTTTGGATTGGAGCTTCTGAATTTTTTTAAAGGAGAAAATGCATTTGAGAGGAACAGCTTATTTACAACTTTAAACAAATACGGAAAAATCAGAAGTTGGGGCGATTTTAGTGAACTTTTGTAAACTTGTTGATTGAAGTGTCTTATATGAACGGGAAAAATTTCAAGTTTTCGCTTGTTTTGGAGTAAGATGTATGAATTTTCAAGAGAAACCGCATTTTTGACAATACATTCACTCTCAGGTCACTTTTAACAATTCCAAAAAAATCAGAAATTCCGGCGACTTGAGTGAAATATTTGGCATTTCTAGACTCAACTGTTTTCCATGAATTATAAAAGTGTCAAATTGTTTCTTGCTTTCGATTCAAAAATAGGAATTTTTGAAAAAATATTTCACATTTGGAACATAAAAAATTGGAGAGATTTTAATGAAAGTTTTAAAAACTATCTTCTCTAACTGTAAAAATTTTAAGGTGAAATTTAGTTTGTATTCGAAGTCATCATTTTTTAAAGTATAGCGATCATTTGCGCAAAATCGTTCATATATATAAATAATCTTTATTTCCTACAGAAAAAGGCTATCCACCCAATCAGTCTTTCTGCCGTTTCGGCAAAAGCAAGCAAAGCAAAAATCGTTAATTTTTGCGTTTTAAGGGATTTTGGTGAAATCATCAGAACTCTTCAGAAAATCAACGGTTTTCTAGGGATTGTGAAATTTTCAAATTCGAATTTGCTTTAGATTCGAAGTTATGAATTTTTGAAGGAGAACGCGCATTTGTGCGAAAACACTAATTTTCCGAACAAATTTTATCCAGTCCGGAACAATTAGACAATGCGTCGATTTGAGTGAATTTTTCTCGAACTCGCAGGTTCAACCGTCTTCCGTAGAGAGCGAAAATTTCAAGTTACGATTTATTTTGAATTAGAAGTTATGCATTTTTCAGAGAAAAAGCGCTGTAATTAACACTTTATATTGTTTTGTATATGAATGTTTAAATGAACTGCAAATATTTTAAAGCTTAGCTTACCTTTAAACATTCAGTTGTCAATTCCACTTCTTCATTCGCAGCCTTTTCGGCCTTAATTTTCATAAATTCATCGTAATCTGGCCTATCAATGCCCAGTAATTCTGCTCTCATGCATTCATATTCATACGAACCTTCGATTGCCATTTTTCACTTATATGTTATCTTTCACACAACCGCTTATTGTTAAGATTTTTCACAGCCCTCAAATTGCTTATCGAATTATTTACTTTGATCGAATTAAAATTTAGCTATTAGTTGGAAGTGCATAGCTGGTAATAGAAATTGAAATTAACATTTTTTATTTTGTCTTTTAGAGCGAAATATCGGGTTAAGAGTGCTTATATTCTGACCAGGCGCAGAGCTATTGATTTGATATTGTTATGTATGGCAAAGAAAACCGCAGTTTTAAATATACGGGGTGTCAATTTCAAAACTTCTCACCCTTAATATCTTTCTTGCAGTTAATAATATGAAAAATCGGAAATACCCGTAAATTTTATTTGTAAGGGGGACACTTTAAATGAATATTTAGTCAGTGTTTACACAAAAATGATTCTATTGAGTATCCTTGTAATACATATGATTAGAACTGTTAAAATGGTTGAATAACAGAAAGAAAATCTAGTTTAAACATTGATGTACTATTTTTTATTTTGATCTTATTTCTTATTTATTGATTATTGACAAAAATAACTTTTTATTTGCGGTAGAGAAATTTTTACAATAAATCATATAGGAACTGCTTACGTACAATCTTATTAAATTGTTCAAAATATTGTCCAGTTTAAGATAGTCAATATCAGCAGGTTGTGTTTTATAAACAATGGACTTAAGATAGACCAAAGACCAAAGAAAGAAGTCTAAGGGTGTTCAATCCGGTGATCTTGGAGGCCATTCAATTGGTCCCCTTCTGCCAATCGATCTTTCCGGGAATATCTTATCAATGTTAGGGAGAATTTGAAAATATACTTTACGATTGTTTACCTACAGAAAAGTAGACAAAACCAAGGAGGCAAAAAATATTCATTTAAAGGGACCCCCTTGAATAAATTGTATTCATTTTTATCTTTAACATTTTTTTTGTCAAAATAGAGTTTTACCACTTTCAAAGAAAACGGCTCGTATCGTATCCAACGTTTCCAAAACCCTTCTTAGAATATGAAAAACGCGTGCCCCCGAAATTTCATTTTCTTTCGTCTTGGGAGATCGCGAGTGGTGTCTATTAAACATCTTGACAATGGATTGCATATATTCACGCTGATGAGATTTATAGGTATAAATCGCATCAGCGTGTGTTACGTGTAACATATGTTACTAGAGAATAGACCGAACCTGTCGAAATGTGACTTTGCCTGATGGGATCTTACGTCTTACAGAAATTCCTAAAAAAAAACTCGTAAATTAGAACTTAACCACTTTAACCGGGAGAAAAAACGGGACTGACTCGGTCCTGACTCAATCTGCGCAGGCTTCAATCTGTTCGCTGTAATATGGGGTTCCTCTGCCCGATACTCGCCCTCCCGCTGTGCACACTTTTTTTTATCGGCAGAATGCGGTTCTCCTGTAACTAGGATTTCCCTGCACGACAATTTATATCATAGTATCCACTTGCGTGGATTTGACTGGTTGATTGTGGGGTATATATTTTAAAAATTCACTTCAAAAGGCTAATTTGTTCTATCTTAGATTAGTACTCGATAGTACTTATCGAAACAACACAAACACAACTCCATTAGCAGAAATAGCAGAAACGTTCATTTTGTTTTAACAGAAATAAACGTATTTGAATAAGTAGTAACGTTATCATCCACCGTATTGAAATGGAAAATGTCAATTAAAATTAAATAAAAAAAAAATGAAATTGTACAAATTAGATTTGAAAAATATTACTCACCAACGTAACTTAATATTATTAAAAACACCGCAGTTGACAAAAAACCCATTTTTTATTTCTATGTAATTAATATAAGCAATTAAAAACTGTATAATTCAAATCATTCGTGTAACGCGCCGTCATTGGCTGGGACCAGTTGTGACGTCAAGCGGCTCGCGGGCCGCTGCGGCTGCAATCCGGAGCATGTAAATATGCAACCGCAGTCTTGATATCATCGTTAAAATGTTTCTATACTGTATTAGGAGGAAAAGAAAATGTCTCAAAATGACTGGCGCATGTGTTGTAAAAGAGCAATCAGACAAATTACATCATTAAAAGTGATTTGGTATTGATGCAAAATAGAGCGCTAATGATTAAATATATCCTTAGTTACTAAGAATAACAATGTTAAGTACAAAAATATGTACTATGTAAAAAAACGTTATTTACAGATCGGGAAGGCATTCTTATGGAGATTCTACAGTAGTATGGGTGCAAATTACAAGTTTCATTTATTTTTTTCAGACCTCCCATTAACTTGAATTTAACATAGTTATCCATATCTTCTTCCGGCTGGAATAAATAAATAATATTAAAGTTACATACAAAAATATGTGTTAATATTCATATTCCATGACAAAAATAATAGTTATTAAATATACGACGATAAAACGAGATTTTGCCTTCGCAGATACTTATTGTTTCTTTTTATCGTCTAGTATAGCATTTAACTATTTTTGAGGTGATTATTTATTATTACTATAATAAAGCCGAGGGGCAGAAAGACCGATTGGGTCGATAGCCTTTTTCTGTAGGAAATAAAGATTATTTATATTGTAACGGAAATGGCCTGGAGTACTCACTTTTGGAATGGGGAGATCGAAATTGATGGTATTTCAGTAAATGGGAGCCCTATTTACTGAAATAGCTGGAGCTGAATAAAAGTTGGAAGCTGAAGAAAATACTAAATATATATATACAGCCGACAAGCAAACAAAATAGAAATTGAAAATATCTGTTATACAATAGGCAAAATCAAATCGTTTTTTTATACTTACATTAAAATGGTCTTCACATACATGGGCAGTAGTCTTGTCATAAATATCCTTGTGAGGTCTTCTGTAAACCTTTCACCATTTTAAACGCCGGCTTTTATCTCGAGTTACACGAATAAATAGCCTATCTGCCGTTTTAAAAGTTGTACTAGGAGACAGCCGCACCATACAGAATTTGTAATATTGTGTTTCCATTGGTAATAAAGCACAGCACGAATTATAAACAGTCAGACACCGAGACAATTCAACGACAAGCCGCATTCCCGTATTGCCTTTGGATCGAACGACCAGCGCTATGACGTCACGACCATTCCCGCGCGTTTGTTGTCGTTTCGAATGAATAACGTGCGGTCACAACTTTAATTGTTTATTGCAATTTAAATATTACGATTTGAGGGCTGCTATTGGGTATGCGCGATTTCTATAGATAGGCATATATATTAAAGAAATAAATAAAAAATGTTTAGGTTCCCAAGTAGTAGGTAACCTGTATACTCTAAGAACCTTGCGTTTAGCCAGCGTAATTATGCAAGTCTTAACAGTAATGGATGATTTTCTTTTGGAAAATAGCTGTCTTGTCAGAAGGCAATTAAAGTTAAAAAGAAAACTTATTGGGTTTCTAACATATTAGCAAAACGAAAAGAAATTGGAGAATTCCATGACTTATATGAAGATCTAAAAATGAATGAGAATTTATTTTTTATTACTATCGCATGAATCCGGATTCGTTTAAATATCTTTTAGATGCCATAAAAGAAGAAATTGCAAAAATGTCGAATTTCCGTCAGAATATTTCACCAGAAGAACGATTGAGTGTGATTCTAAGGTAAGTTATAAGTACAGGAGTTACAACATAAAGTTTTATTGAAAAGGAAAAATATGAAGTAATTTAATCGCTAAAGTCCGAAACATTGCTTTGTGTTGACGGGGACGGTTGAGATGAATCATATTCTCTTGTTTGATCTGCATATTGTAAAATGTGTTCGGTGCACCTATGTGATACTCCAGGCAGATGTATCGACGATAATTGTTCTTCTTCAATAAATACTTGATGGAGCTCATTTCTCACAAACAGTTGTCGTTTATGGGGTACAGCCTTTAAAAAAGGCAAGAGGCTCATTAGAAATTGGTACTCACTGCAAGTGTCGTCTTTTTCGCTTTGAGACAATATTTCCAGTTTTGGGCTTTCTGTTTCGAGAAACTTGTCGTCCATTGATTTTCTGTCGGAACTCCTACGATATTTTGGGCAATTGTTGTTTTTCTTACGCAGCAGAGTTGAATTTAACCGCGTATTCGGTATGTTTGTAGCTTTCGTATCGGATGTGGAGGGCTGCTGTATATCTTTAGTTGACATATGCTGCGATTGTTCCTCAATGGTTGGATGATAGTTTATTATATTGCCTGCAGCTTCCAATATGGGTTCTGTCTCAGAATCGGAGGTCTCAGTCTTTTTCTTTTGTGGGGATACATTTCCATGCAGCTTCCTTCGTGCAACAGATTCAGATAAAAATAACAACATCTTGTAATATGGCCATTTGGAGATAACTAGCGATTCCGCCCCATCTCCAGATTTGGATTTTTTCGACTTGTTCAATTCTTTTCGGAAAGTGTCTCGCAATCCTCTCCATTTATTTTTCACTACATGAACTGAAACAAATAAAATATAGTTGGAATAATTCAACTTATTTAGGTATTCAAATATCAGACGTTACGGTTGGACGAATTGTTTATGAAGCGTGTGCTGCTATTTGCAACAGGCGCATCTCATTGTATCAGCCTTACCCACACATGCGGGGATCTGTGTGCATGGACCCAACCCTTCCTTAACTGCTCCTGGAAATGATATGGAGAACCCAACCATCGTGCCACCACCAAATACCGGCGGGACTTCCTCAGAAGAACCATCGGGCTCCGCAGCTGGCAAAGTACCGAAGGGTGCTAAAAAACTCTCGGGAGCGGCCAGGAAGTTGAAAAAGAATAGGGAAAAACGAAAGTTGGAACCTACCAAAAGTGTGCTAAATAGACCCCCAGGGGAACCAGCACACACCAAAAAAGCTACAACGACAGGGACGCAAAAGCGACAACGGTCGGAGAGGAGCACACCCAATAAGCCAGCATATAAGCGGATGTGGGCAACCGCACCCAACGCCTATAAGGATACGGTTTCCGGGATCAAGTTGGCCATAGCGGATGTCGGATATTCCGAGAAAAACTTTTCTCCTCAGCAGGGAAAACTCATAAAGAGGCGCCTGCTGGAAAAAATCGACGAGCTGCACCAAGGGATGATAAGTCCTAAGTTTGCAGAATGCCGTTACCAGGAGGGGCGCTCTTCTGACCACCCGCTTCGACCAGGCCACTGTCGACTGGATCGCCGCGGTTGTGAGGGAGGCGAAACCATGGAATGAAGCGGAGCTTGTGCTTGTGGAGGCAAACATGCTTCCAAAGCCAAAGCGAACAAGAGTGTTCATCCCGAGATTACCCCTGCGGAGAAGAGACTACACAGGAACGGTTTCCACAACAATCTGAACGTAAGCTGCTAACGATACTCACGGACTAGAGCTGGTGGGAAAAGTTGGGAGAGAACCAATACAGACCCTACTACAACTTCTCGAGGGTTATGTTCAGGGCCCTCTCTTCTAGGAAGGGACCTGTACAAGCCCAAGAGGCTAGAAAGGAAGGGGTAAATAAACATTCAGTAACGACGAAGAGGAAGGCACCCGCCAGCACTGGGGCGACATGTCAACATACCAACCCCCGCGACTATGGAGATGGAGGTGGAGGAGATACCGCCTAGTACTGTGGAAGACCAGGAACATGGCTCTTCGGGGAGGCGGGTTGGTAACGCGGAGGCTCCGGGGCAGCATCCTGAAGCACCAATTCCCGCTATGGAGCAGGGGACACAGGGCGCAGGCACTTCAGCACTTCTGCGGAAAGTCTGACTGGCTGGACGACTCGGCTGTGTGTGGGTCGTTCAGATAAATCTTCACCACTGCAGGACGGCTTCGGCTGCCCTCAGTGAGGGTACGCTAAAGACATCTTAGATGTCGCTCTAATTCAAGCATACTATCATACACACAAGTAAGCACATTACCATGGTAACCGAAGATGAAGCCACCATTAAAGCAGTTAAATCGTGCACACTCAGGTCACAATGTGTGCTAGATTGTGTAAAAGAACTAACGACCATGGGGGGAAAAGCTCAAACAGAGTAAAACTCATTTGGGTAACTGAGACAAACAGGAGCAAACAAGGAAACGAGATTGCTGCGGAACTTGCTAAGGCAGGGGCCGAGCAACCACTGACCAACCAAGAACCTGCTTGTGGCATATCTCATGCCCAAGTTAGGGCGGAAATTGGGCAGTGGGTCTTGGAACAACATAGAAAGTACTGGGACGAGACACCGCGACTCCTTACCGCAAGGCAGTTGGTGAGACCTCCACAACCAGTGTGTAAAAGTGAACTGATAGATCTCAGCAGACAAAAAATAAGGAGGATAGTGGCCTTTTTAACAGGACACGCCCCCTGCAAAAAACACCCCTTCAGGATGGGACTGAGCGATCAACCGACCTGCAGTGGGTGCAAATTAGAGGACGAAACTACTCTACATATCATGTGTCACTGCAAGTCATATGCAACAGGTAGACTCACCGAAGAAAAAGGCAGGTGCAAAAATCAATTGAAGTAGATCTTGAATATGTCGATAAACTTATTAAGTGCATACGCCTGTTGCAAAACATTATAATTGATAGAGAGGGAGAGCAGCAAATAGTTTGTACGGAACAAATACCTGACCCAACACATTCGAGAACGGTCTGATTTGGAACCCTGGGTGAAATAGAGGATCCAGTTCAGCTTATGTCGTCAGAGATAAATTTAAAATTTATTTTGCATCTCAAGAACTGCATAACACATACTCTTGAAATAAATGATTACTTTAAATAAAATAGATAATGTTCAAATAAATGTATGTCTTGTCTTATGTATGTTGTCCTTGTCTAGATGTATGCTCTTGTATGCAAATGTAAAAGTAGTTAATTCGAAATTTTGTTTGTGAGAATTTACTTATTAGTTTCTGTACGAAACGGAAAAGTTATCACGTTTGTCACAAGAAAGTGAATAATAAATGTACTTTATTCGTAAACAAAATTCATATTTTCTGATATACCACGATGCGACTGAAAAAAAATGTCGTATGGTTCATTTTAGTTAATGGACCAACCTGAACTTTTTATGAAGAATAATATTTTCGTAAAATTAGTAATAAACAACTTTCGCATATCGTTCAAACTTAATAAGGACACACCGCATATTTAATGAATTGAAATGTGAGCACAAAATAAATTAAGTGAACTCTAACAATATTTTTTTGATATTGTTTACACCTTCCTCTTTTTGCACGAATTGTATTTTTAGAATAAATGTATACTTATTTTAACTTACCATCAGCATTTATTTCAACTGCCACTTCTTGCCACAATTTGCGTTGTATGTCTCTCATATTATATGATTTTTCAGTCATATCCCACAAAGGCTTTCTTTCATTTACAAGATTTATTAGTTTTTCAGCATCCATTTCTACTCGGTGTGCCACAACCAATACTCGTTATTCGGTCAGAAACACTGCGAACTCGCAATGATTCGTACGAATTCGCCCGAGTGATTTCGGATCTAATGGACGAGCTCTAGTACGTTGTCAAGGTTCAAGGTTTCTAAAATATACAGGTTGCCTGATAATCCCAAGCCGGGAGAGACGCGAGCGGAAGATGTGACCATGCCCTGGGCACTCTCACTTAAAAACCTAACCGAGAACAACTGATTTCATAGTCGCCAGAGGCGCTGCAGACGATAAAGAGCTACAGATTAAATCATGAAATAACCCACTGTAGGAAAATATTCTGTGGATAAATGCGATAACGCGAGTCAAATGTCAAATAAATCTTCCCCATTGTTGTTTATGGGTTTGTCATGGACAAGATGTCTGTCGCTGTTGATTATTCGCTATCATCCAAAGAAAAAGCCTATGCCGATTTTATTCATTTCTGACGATATAATCTGTGATAAGTTGTATGATTTCGTGCCTCATGCTTCCGGCACATACTGGATTGTGATATGTTTCCCCATGTTCTCCAATACGTAATTTGTGAATATTTTGTTGGGTAAGTCGAAATCACTTAGCTTATTATTCAGGTGGTATTTTCATCAAGAAACAAATAAATGGAAAACAGGATATTTTTCCCATTAGAGCTAGTTCATAGCATCGGGTTGCTCACCGCTGAAACCGCTACTTAATATGTATTATGTAGAATTACAGATTAATATTTAAACAGAAACCTCTGTTCAAAATGAATAATAATATTTTCATATTTTCAGATTATCTTTTTCCTTATCTGTTTTCATAAATCGTCAATAATCTGCAAAGATGGTAGCTGTTTATTGGTGTCTTGAAGGCTGTTGTAAAATGCACGGCTTCCTATCACAAAAGGCGGATGTTTTAAAGTTGTTCCTAAAAATGCTCCAAAGATTTTTTTATCTGTAAAAAGTATTTATATAAACAATAAACAA